GCATGTCCCTGTAGGGCCCTTTCAGCAAGCAAAGCATGAGCCCGCCCTAAGTGAAGGGGGGGCCCTGAATTTCAATATGGCCTGAGTTCATCAATTTTGGCAAAGTTTGGTGGGCGCCAGACAGTTGCCATGAGCCAGTTGGTTTCATCCTCCATACTCGTGACAATCATAAATAATTCTTGAGCCTTCTAGGCTCTTCCAGCAGCACAGGCGAAGAAGGGAGAACCTCACGTTTACTCCTGGGTGGTTGGGCAGGTTCAACCAATTGGGTCCCAGGCCACTATCTGAATGGGCCTCGGCGCAGACACGTTGGCCCGATTGGAAGCTACTGGAAATACACGAGGCCCAGCCAGGGAGCAGACTCGGCGAGCACTTTCCATGAGGCCCAGCCAGGGAGCAGACTGGGCGAGCACTTTCCATAAACGAAGGAACGAGCTCGCCACTGGTGGAGGCATTCGGGCACTAGGCAGTGCATGCAGCAACGCTGCTTGAGCGTGCGCTCACAGGCTGTGCGCTGTGCGCTAGCGCTAGCTGCCAGGTAGTGCACACGGGCGCTGGAGGAAGGCAGGGCGCTGCCGAGGGCAGCGCCATAGCCAGGGCTTGGCTTGGACAGCCAGTGGAGGTGGTGGTGGTCTTCGTGCATAAGGGAGAAGACGTGGGAGGAAGACAAGGATAGGGAGAGAGTGAAAGAGATGAGGATGATGATGTGAGCGCGCATACCTGGTATTGGCGATGGTCTGCATTGGTCGACATCTTCAAGTACTTCGGTGGTGACTGCTGACGGCAACAGTTGCATTGTCAATTCGTAGGCAGGAAGTAGCTGTGTAGGCAGTAAGTAGCCTGGGCGGCGAGCGCCAAGTAGGGAGAGAGGGCCTGGATACGTATGTTGGTGGGGACGAGAGTAAAGCTCTCATTGACATTCTGTTACAGTGTTTCGATTCTCCATTGGTGTAATATTGGTGCAATGCTGCTTATCTGGACATTGTGGAACTTTCTTGCTTTCAATGTGATTGTGCTATCTGGAGTCCGTCATCTCGCTCTCTCTCATTTTCCTTGCAAAAGGGTGAAAAAAAAAAAAAAAAAAAAAAAAAAAAGAGAGGATGTCCTGTTGATGAACACCGCCCTGGCTTGTTTGTACTCGTAAGATTGGGAGTATTTTTTGTATTAATTAACTTCTTTTTTTTTTAACAACAAAAGCAGCACTTATTATTATATGCTGGGAACCAGGCCACCCAGCACTCCTCACAAAGGTGCCATAGTAGCTCTTGAGCTGAGCAAGGCTCTCCGGGGCTGAGGTCCCACTAGCAAAGAGGATAGGATCGAGCTCCTGAATCTGGTCGTGTTTTCTTCAAAGATGCAGAAAAGCAGTTCAATCTTGATTTCCTGCACATCTCCATAACCTCGTCCATATTCAGGCATTGGATCCGATCCTCTTTGCTAGTGGGACCACGCCCCGGGGCCATGTCCCACTAGCAGCGTTGAGCGACCTCAACGCCTGAATCTGGATGTGTTTGTGGGAGATGAGCAGTCCAGGAAACTCAATACAATCTTCCATATTCAGGCATTGGATCCGATCCTCTTTGTTAGTGGGACCACGCCCCGGGGCCAAGTCCCACTAGCAGGGTTGAGCGACCTCAACGCCTGAATCTGGACGTGTTTGTGGGAGATGTGCAGTCCAGGAAACTCAATACAATTTCTGCACATCTCCGCAAAAGGCAACGCTGCTAGTGGCACTTGGCCCCCGGCCGAGCAGAGCCCGGACCACGGTATTATTCCAAGTAAGCGAAAAAAACTTATTGCGAGAGACTTATTATTAGATTCTCTCTTTCTTTTATTATTAGATTCTCTCTTTCTTTTTTTTTCCCGATTGAATCGGGGGTTCATTACTACTGGGGATTAAATTTGCGTCTTCGTTTTGGATTGACTAAGGGTCCGGTTAGACACTCCTAAAAGAATCCTAAAATTTTTAGGACAAGTCCTAAATGTTTTTTAGGATTTCGTGCGGTGTCGTTACACGCAATCCTAAAAATCATCTTTCAGGATTCGTCCTAAAAGGTCTCCCGCGGCCGTTTTTCATATGCGTATACGCAGCCGCGCCGCCGATGTCCGTCCATTCCTGGCTGGTGTCCGTGGTACACACTGCGGTGGCCCTTGGGCGGGTGAGGACGGGTCGGTGAAAAGAGCGGTCACCCAGAACTTCCAAAATTCAAATTCGAATTTTCGCGCAGACGCAGGGTGGGGGGGGGTGGAGGACGGCCAGGCGACGCGTGTGACGTAGAAAAAACGGCTCTGGCAAACTGTTCGGCGTCGGTGTCCATCTTTCGAGTCTACGCAAGTTGTGAGCAGCGGGCGCATATTCCTGCAAGGCGCATCTTCACCTCCGGTGTGCGTACTGTCCTGTGGGAGCGTAGAGCAGCGGGCGCGTCTTCGGCTCCGGCGTGCGTCATCTCCTGTGGCAGCGTACAGCAGCGGGCACATCTTCGGCTCTGGCGTGCGTGGTCTCCTGCGGTAGGGTTGATCAGCGGGCGTTCGCGGCGGTGGCGATGGCGGCGGCGTCAGAGATGGACGTTCGCAGCTGCGGGCACGGTCTACGCGAAGAAGAGATCGACGCGTTGGCGATGGCGGTGACTGCCGTCGTCGTCAACACGATGAGCAACATGTCGTCGTCCTCACGCGACATGGTGATGCAGCTCCGCAAACGAAGAACGCTGTTGCAGAGCATTGTCGAAGCGCCGGATTGCGTGGCCACGTGTGAGGCAGTCGTCCAGTTGTGTGCCGCGCTGTCGTCTGGCGTTTTCCCGCAGCAGACCCCGCGTTGGTGGATTAGACGACGGACTGGTGGAACATGGGAGGACCTCCGGCTGTGTGATGACGCGACGGACGAGTATTACCAGTAGAAGTTGCGCATGTCGATGGCCATGTTCACCCAGATCATAGCCGCGTGCGCCACGTACGTGGAGAAGAAGGTCATGCACTACAGGATGCCATTGCCAGTGGAGCAGGTGATCGCTTTCGCGTTGTACAGGTGGGCGTCCAGAGAGACGTACGAGAGCGGCACGTCAGCCTTCGGCATCGGCAAGGCAACTGGACTGCAGGCCGTCCGCGACGTCACTTCGGCGCTGCTGCAGGCGTACCCCGACGCGATAAAGTGGCCAGTGGGCAGTAGACGTGCGCAGATTCTGCGCGCTTTCCGTGAGAAGGGTTTCCCAAACTGCTTCGGCGCAATCGACTGTACACACATCTACATTGACAAGCCCGCCGCCGCATTGTCGGCCAACTACTACGACCGAAAACAGAAGTTCTCCATGCAGGCGCAGGTAGTGGTGGATTTTGATCTGCGGATCCTCGATGTCCACGTCGGATACCCGGGAATTGTGCATGACGTTCGTGTCTTGCTCAATTCCCAACTGTGGAGGCGTGCAGAAACTGGCGAGCTGTTCGACGCGCCTCCGGAGAGTCTGCTGCACGGTGTCGTCACGCGAGGTTACCTGCTGGGCGACAACGGTTATCTAGTTGCCTGTCCATGGATCGTGCAACCGTACTGAGGAATCGACCAAGGTCCTGACGAGGAGCGCTTTGACACGCGGCAGAAGGTGGCGCGGGGATGTGTGGAGAGGGCATTCGGGCGACTGAATTGCATGTGGCGTCTGTTCTTGCGCATCCACAAGACGAACTTGGAGACCTTGCCACAACAATTCGTGGCCGTCTGCACTCTCCACAATATCCTCCCCGACGCGGGGATCGACTTCGACGAGAACCTTTTGTGGGAGGTGGATGCGAACGACGTTCGGCGTAGAGTGGACTTGGGCATCGTGGGGAACGGCGCGGGCGGGCGGCGACGGAGCAC